GCGAAGTAAAAATAACTACTTGCAAATGCATTCGTGCGGTTAAATGCGTAACGATATTTAAATGGGGCCAGTCATATCCTACATACCTGCATTGGAATTTGCATACCGTTGTGATAAATTTGACATTGAATGGATTGAATAGTAAAATACAATCCCTTGTGTTTTGTGCCAGTTCTGTGTGCCAGTCACTGGTCGATTCAACCGACCTCATCAGTCGCAGGCAGTGGCAGCCAGGAAGGCATGGCAGGTGGGACGGGAGAAAGTGAGCTATGACACGTTCTTTACCATGAAGAGGCTGCTGGAGCGCTCCTGCAGCCCAGAGGAGGTGTTACGCTGGTTGGCACAGAATCCTGGAAAGGTCGCTCCTAGCCATTACCCAGTGGCGCTGCAGAGGCTCGGCCACATCCTCCAACACCAGCGAAGTGGAACGAGTGATGGCAGCAACAGCAATTGCCAGACTGTGGAATCGGCCTACAAGCAACTGCAAGACAGCCCAGACTTCAAAGCACTCTGTGAAGCCGTTGCAAAGAACTGTTCTCAGTTTGACAACTTCAGCGTAGTCAACTGTCTCTATGCACTGGCAACTCTGGGTAAGTAATGGCTTTTGTAAAAAAATATATTCAGTTGTGAATGACAGTGATGCTTTGATCAGATATGGTGTAAAATAAGAGGCTAAACCACTTGCAACCATACCATTTGTTTTTGTATTAAAACTGTTCACAACACTGATGCCACATTGCTTTTCTTGTGCCAAAAACAGGGATGCAGGGCAATGCAGATGTTGTGCGCACTTTGGAGCAAGAGGCCCATTCCCGATTGGCCCACTTCAACCAAAAGGATGTTTCCATGCTGTTCAGTAGTGTAATGAAGCTGCATCCTACGAGTCCACACAACCACCCCCTGGTAGAGCCCTGCCTTAACAGTTTGGAGCGCAACATCGAGCGGGAGCGCCATCCTCAAACGCTTTTCTTGTTGCTGTCATATTACCGCATGCTCACAACAGCCAGTGAGCCAGAAGCAGGACAGTCGATGCTGGCAAATACCCCGGCGGCATTAGAAAATGCTACCTCAAAGGTATCCGAAATGTCGGCGGCAACGATGGGTGGGATCTGTGCACAAATTGGTGCCGCTTCCATGGTGGCAACAGGTCCTTGCACTTCGGTAGTGGAAGATGGGATGGGTTCTGCGAAAATGAATGGAGGTCAAGACGAGCAAGCAGGCAAACGCGTGAACCTGGAAAGGAAGGTGCTGCGCTTGGTGAAGCACACCTTGAGTCATGTAGGCAACGTGCGCGAGCATGAGCTAGTGCTGCTCGACGAAATGCTGTCCACCTGTGTGGCCCAGGCCTCCAACAAATCCCTCGAGCTCATCTTTAGCTCGCAGCTCTTCTACGAGAACAGACAGGAAAAGTTCATCAACAAGCTCGCAGGTGACCAAGGCAATGTGATTACTATGCACGTGTTTTGTTAACTAAATAGAACGTTAATTATCGTGATTTGCACACATTAATATAAGAAATGTATCTTGTCTAGTTCCCAAATTCCAGGGTTCACACTTGTTCCTTGGGATTTACGTATGGACAAATCAACAGCTGCGCTGTGAACACTAATTAACATGTAAATAATGAATTGGCATTGACAGAAGTCTGGACCAGATGGGGTAGTCCAATAATTGAACCTCCCGTTTGTTTGCATATATGGAATAATCCTATGTAAAACATTAACTTTTAGTTTGTGTATCTACTGCACGAACAATACTTTCCACAGTTGCTCTTTAATGCAAGACCTCTAATGTAAAACATGCCAATACAAGTATGGCATAAAATAAATTTTGGATTTGTATGAAGTCACATTACTCGATTGGTGCAATGTGTTTTATAGAGGAGCTACCCAAGAAGGTGGACTCGATGTCACCTCACACAATGGCCATCATTGCCAAGTACCTGGCCCGGCATCGCCTGAGGGAGCCCAAGCTCCTTGACACCATCGCTCACTTCCTCATCAACAAGGCCGAGATGCTTGACACCAAGGTCACACTCCCACTTGCACATATCAGAAGTAGTTTTTGGGATTGGTAGTCTTAAAGCTGTATGAAGGTAGTCCTGGTTCTGTCTAATATATTCTTCACAAGGCGAGTTGTAAAATGCAGCTTCCATAAGATAATGGTCATGATAACAGGACGGCCACATCTCTTCAGCTATCTTAGGGTATATGGAAGTTTAAAAATCATCTAAGCCCACTGGTAGAACACATTTCAGTTACAAACGAAAGAATGACTATGGGTACTATTGGACTAACCACTTGAAAGCATGAGCACGAACTTAAGTCTGTTTGCTGCAAAAGGAAATGTATCCCTGTGTGCAGGTGCTGCAGAAACTCGTGTTCCCATTCAGCCGGATGAACTACAAGCCCCCGAGTGAGCGAAAGCTCATGGAGAGGCTAGAGGCCGTTCTAGCGCAAAAAGCGCTGCACTCGCCACTCGCGACGGTCAACATCATCATGTCTATGGTGCAACTCAACCACTTCCCGGCTGCCAGCCTCGGCAAAGTCTTCTCACCACCCTTCTTGCGCATTATCATGAGTAGGTGCTGCTGCCTTTGCCTGGGACAACCAACTTCCTTTCTTGGAAATATGTAACATAGCTCGACTTTTAAAAATGTCTTGGAATAATGATTGTGCTAAATTTGTGGTTGTTGCTTGTGAATGTTTAAGACCAAAGTATAATTTTTAGTATGGTTAAAGTTCAATCTTGATTTGAAGCTTTCGTGACTGCAGGAATCAAGTCTTTGGTTCTTTCGGTAAAGTCACGCAGGTAGAAAAAAACAGTTAAATGGTCAAAGTTATTTCAATGCTAAACTTTGCAACCATATTTTTATTTGAATATCCTTAATCACTTGACAAATGCTCAAAAACGCTATTGTGGCTTTTGTTGCTGCGATGCTCAACTTTATTGGTTAAAAACCTCAGTTATATTATCAAACCATAGCAGTTTACATGCTCTATATCCTGAATGAGCATGTTGGTTTCTGGAAAGCTGCATGGATCCAGAGCTGTGACTGGTCTCATGATTGCTGATCAACTTATTAGTAGTACAGTTTCTCTGAGGGTTCAGTGATGAGGTCACATCTCGGCACTTTTGCAAGCTCTACTCTAGTTACACTACACCATGGAGTGGGTGTAAAAGCCTGGGCTGTATTGTCAACATGTTGTAACAAGACTTTTCCCCTTTACTCATAAAACCCCAATTCCAGACAGCCCTTATGGGGTGATAGTGCGGCGATACCTCTCTCTGCTGGATGCAGCCATCACTCTGGAGTGTCCCAGCTACAGTGGGCCCCGGCTGCCTGACCATTACAAGGTCACAATGTTTGACCATGCTCTGACAGCAGATGAAGTAAACAGGAAGTACAGGTCAGTGTGGAGAATGCGTGCCACATTCACGAACACTGCACAAGTATAAACGCAATGTGTGGGGCATTGATTTGTTATTTATGAACTGCATTGTGTACATTTCATGCTGTGATGTTTAAAATTGCAGCTACAAGGGATTTGTGGCGGAGGCCCTGCGACAGCTTGTGGGAGCACAGTGCTTCAAGCAGGACGAGGTCCTCCCTCCAGGATACTACACTGGTGAATTATACAAAGCTTACTTTTAAAAAATAATTTTAGATTTTACACACTTAAAATGCTCACTTGTTTTTTTTGTCTCTTTGCAGACTTCTTGCTTTTTATGGACGATCAGAAGAGACTACTGCCAACCGATGTAAACAGTAATCTAGGAATGCATGGCTTAATTCATCCCCTTCTACCGAACACAAGATCAGACGTCAAGCATCAAACACAGATGGATGCACTGACAGCCGACCTACATGCATTTTCTCCCTTTCAATGCGAAAAAATAACAAAGAGAAACTTCAAGTCAGAGCTACACAATCCCAAATTGCAGTCGCCTCACAACTCTGCCTATTGTCAATCAGCACATACTTTCTTAGGCCAGGGTGGGCATCATGCACACAACCATCCAGTAAACACCTGCAACAGTGCAGCAGCCAGCATAGCTGCAGTCAGGACTTTAGCACCCAACTTTTCTGCTGCGAGCAGTCTCCAACTTCAGCATTCACGTTCCAGCACTGGTGGTCGAGTTCCCATAACAGACAGTCCTCAGGCTTATCTGTCACCTGCCACACAGGGCAGGGGCTCTTACCCCTATAGCCAACAGCACCTCCAAATCAATGATCAGTCTCAAGTGGGCTCCGTGGCATCCATCATGGGAGGCTCGGAAAGTTCAAATAGAGATCCTCATGAGGTTGGACAGGGTGTGTTGAGTGATCACTCAGGAGGCAGGGTTCCAGTGGCCTCGGTCGCTGCACAAAGTAGCCACCCATGCGGGATGATGCAGCAGATGGCAGCAGTGACGTCCGACTTTCATCAGGACCATCGCATGCCCCAGGGACATATAGCCACACTATGCTCATCAACAGATGGCCAAGGGAACGTCATCTCGTCAGCTTACTTCCACTTCTATCAAGAAGGGATGCTGCAGCAAAGTGCAATCCAGGCAGATGAGTCTGATGTGTACAGCCCCCAGGAATCAATCCGCCGGTTCTACGAGTCACCGTTTTACACAGAGCGATTTGTAACAGACACAGAGCCCGACACTAATCTCAGAGCTGGTGGACACCTGCAGCAGCATCTCGGAAACCCAGCACGGGTGGACAATGACTCGCCAAGTTCAGCAGTGGAAAATGCAGAAAAGATACATAGGTGAGTAGCCCTGACCATCTAATCGAGGCAGGGGTGAGAAAGCCTTTTATCAAGTTAACTTGCTAATCGTCATGTACATTAACTGGCTTTCCTGTTTAGCGTAATTTACCGTCCAATGTTTTTTTCCAGGATAGTGATGTCTGTTAATGACAAGTGGCACTACTGTCACAGCTCTGACGTTTTGGTTGGCTCGCGGGCCATGCGGGACCGGCATCTCCGCTTGCTGGGTTACCACATTGTGCAGGTACAGTCCATGACTTCGGGATTACTTTCCTCACATGCACACACATGCTTCGACTTGGCTTTAGCAAGGGTGTCTTAATGTTTGTAAATAGGACTTTATTTCAGACATCGATTTGCTGATAATACAATGGATTGGCCATTTGTGGGCTGGACAATGTAAAACCCTTGCTACAGTAGAACCTCTGGTCACGACCATAATTCGTTCCATAACTTTGGTCGCAACCCGATTTGGTCGTGACTCGAACCTAATTTCCCCATTGGATTGTATGTAAATACGATTAATCCGTTCCAGACTCCTACGAACTGTATATATTGTTTTTTAAAGATTTTTAAGCACAAATAGTTAATTATGCCATAGAATTCATAGTGTAATAGTCAACTAAATGTAAAAACATTGAATAACACTGAGAAAACCTTGAACAACAGAAAATTAGCATTGCCGCGTCAAGGTTTAGAATCTTTCAACAAGATGATTGTTTCGTCTGCTACATCAGTCGGTCGATTCTGAGAGAGAGAGAGAATATTCGTATGAGCAATGAATGTTTATATTGAAAGTAAGTTAACAGTAATATTTGGGTACAGTATTGTTTTTGGAAGCATTCACCGTAATATCGTATGAACGTTTACTTCACCGTATGAATGATGCGAGAAGAGATTAACGGGTTCTTATGTTAGCGATTTATGTACTCAGCGCTTTCGCTCTCTAAATTACGGCTTGAATGAGGGGGGAGGGGTATGACCACTCACAAAATTAATATCTTACTAGGAATTGTATATAACCAAAGTTATATACATAACTGTTACGCTTTATGTTGTTTGTAAACAAACAGGAAATTTGGCGCTTACAAAAAAAATGTCGCGGAAGGGGAAATCGGCCGCGGCCGTGTTTGATCGCCACCCGAGTGTGTTCGTAACCAGATTCAAAAATTGTGCATTTTTTGGTCGGAACTCTTTATTTGGTCGTGGTCAGAAGCGTTCGTGACCAGAGGTTCTACTGTATTGAGAAAATGCTTACAAATACACTTTAATGCTTCGTGCATTGCGAAATAGTTGATTGTTTTGCATGTATAATAATGTAGTTTAAATATACCGTGTTCCCAAAGAAATACCTACTGGACATCTAGGAAGAGCTTGAAAGCTCATTGGATTCCTCCAGTGTAAATACATTCTGATATCTGTTCATGCTTAACGTGGATTTATAATGGAGCATTTTCACAATAACCTCTACTGTGTTCACTTCACCGCTGGGGCTGAACAGCTGCCATACCATGACCTGGAGAAGCTGAATGGGATCGAGGAAGTAAAGAAGTACCTACAACGCAAGCTCAACGAGTTGGAGGGACTGTAGCGTGGTTGGTGGTGGGGTTGGGATCTGGGTGCCTGGGTGGAAGGGGGGGAAGATATTGCATAAAGTGTTAAACTGGGTTGGGGGGTGAAGAGTAGAGTATATCCCAATTGGGAGTATTGCATGAACAAAAAAGTATCAAATGATTCACTGTTGAATTAACTTATTTTATTACCATTTTGAATGAAAAAACTATTTCTGTGTAAATGTTACATTTGATAAAATTGGCACAGTGTCTTGTTTTATTCACAAGACAATCTTTCCATCTGCTCATGCAGAACCTGGCCAATGCTTTCTTGCAGCCTCAAAGTGTGAAGCACTGCAAATACCTTGTTCGAAGAACATTCAGTTTAGAAGCCTTTTTCTTTTTGCATGAAGGAATTAATAATTTAATCAGTAAGTTGCCTTATCACCAGCATATGCATACTAAGTGTTGTGAACAAATATTTCCATTTGTTCCATGGGTCATTACAAAATTAACAAGAATACAAGTTCAATTTGGGATTTGTTTAACACTAAAAATGTACATTTTACATCTGCTGAGGCCCTAATATAGTCTGCTACTTTACAGTTATACTGTAGAAAATGACATGAATTGCTTGAGGCCTGTGGCCACCACGCATACTAATATACTGAAGATGTTAATACCATTTTATTGAATCAATTTTACAGCAGCATCAACAAAATGCAAAACAATGGTATTAATGCACATGACAAAAATAGCCAACTTAGAGATTTAACCAAAACAATGCCACTGAACTGACATAAGAAAAACTTATGAGCTGCTATTGTTGCATTCATGCAATCAGTGGTCATTTTGTAAAGGGTGGAATGCAAGTTCGTTTTAACTCTAATTGAGTTTGACTGAAGGTATCATCGATTAAATATGCTGCTGTATGTATACGGTCAGTAGCATTTACAAGTTAACATGGGTAAGGGTACAATATTTTTCAGAACGTGTTATGGTATTTACAATACGGTATGTTGTATGTGCAGTTGGCATGTGTGATTCCCGTGAGATGTGTAAGCTTTTGCACTGCTGCAGGTAAGAAAACTATTTGGTATACTGTTTTAACAGCAGTTGAGGGGGCTTAGATGGTTAAATTGGGTATTTAACAGGGGACTTGACTGTTCTGGGTGTTAATTTAAATAAAAATATAAAAGTTCAAGGCTGTTTTTTCACATCTTATGGTACAAAGTGTCAAACTGAATATGGAAAAATGGCTACTGATACTGCAGCAAGCAAAGAGGTCTTATTCTTCAAGTTCACATTCTGCAAAGCGGACCAAGATGCTTACGCTCCATGTGAGAGAATGCATCAGATATTACTGCGACCAACAAATCAGTCTGTGTCATGCTCCTCATCCACTTCATTTTCAGTCTGGAAAAAACAAAACTGCACTAAATACAGGCGTCTTGCTTAACGAGGAAGATATGTTTTGCAAAAAATGCTCAATCGTTTTTCCATCGATTCCCATGTTAAAAGCCGGGCTACGTTTCGGCCCCAAAATTTGATACTCAAACAATTTTTTCACGCGAAAAATACAAATGCTAATTAAAACATAAAGTAATAAAACATTAAACTTAACACCACAGATTAATGTATGTAGAACTTATTCACAACGTACATAAGCCAACCGTGCAAATCAGGTGCAAGATCTGCCATATAGCCTTAACAGACTAATGGGGCAAGTGCGGTACACGAGGCATGGGTGACCAGCACCATGTCCAGCCGCCTTTGTCTCCCTAAAGGAGATGTTTACACACCGCACCAGGTACTCATTTAAGTACTCTGATTCTTTCGGTAACGTCACGTATCAAGAGAAAATAATCAAATACCAGCATACGACGTTTCGATTGCAACACAAGCAATCATCATCAGGTATTAATGAAATAGAAACACAAATCTAGTATATAGAAATTGTAATGTAATACAACAGTGAGTCTTTCATTTATACATGATGATGATTGCTTGTGTTGCAATCGAAACGTCGTATGCTAGTATTGAATTTATTTCCTCTTGATACGTGACTTTACCGAAAGAACCAAAGAGTAATTCCTGCAGTCACGAAAGCTCCAAATTAAGTATGATACTCATTTAAGGTTGAGTCGACCTAACGGGCGAACCGTTACACCATCCCTCCACGAGGCCCCCCTTCTCCCACAAGACCAAAGACGCGCTCAGCACAGCTGGTAAATAAATAGCTGCGGGCCACTGCGCCCCCTGCCACCATGGGATGGGATGCATATTTATCAATCGGTCTCTGCTCGCTCAGCTAACTTTGAACTCGTTTTGCAAAATGGGTCTAAATTCGAATTGTTTGTTATAGCGAATTCTCATAGAATGCTGGATAAGAGATGGCTGTAAAGGAAAGAACAGAATCAAATCAGTACAGCTGCCGCCTTCTTACCTCGATTGTGCACTTCTTTTTCTTGCTGGAGTCCACATATTTTCTTTTTCTTCTCTAAAAGACAATCATATACCACTTAATATTTAATAACCACATCACACGTTTGCCAATACTGTCTTTAAACATATATTGCCCTTCTGAGCACTTCCAAAGCATGTCATGTTTGAAAAACGTCACGGTATTAAAGATTGTGTTAAAGCGTCTTAGAAAACTGTACATTTCGACAGCAGTTAGCAATGTACAGATTCATTAAATAACGTGTTACACTCCGTCAATGTTGCAGAGGTAACACTCCCTCACCATCTCCCACATGGTTTCAAGTGCAACGCGTTCTCTGTGGGGCAATATCTGAAAACAAAAACCACAAAACAATTCCTGAAATCAACTTTTAAACAAAACTTTTATAGGACAACAATTTGCTGGGAAATGCAAGGTTAAGGAAATCAGTGTCTTAAGAATTGTATTTTTTTTTAATAGTGTTTTATTCAAATACCTTTGCACAGGTTAAATACAACTGCATACGACTTCCAAGGATATGGACAAATCAATCACTTTAAAAAGAAAAACACTGGGTGTAATTCTGACCTGCAGGGCAAGACGTTCTATGGCTTGTTGGTCGACTTTGGCAGCGTGTGAAGCTTTGATGTAATCTGCTTTTTGCTTTTCGTCGCTCCACAGGTTCCTCAATACATACATTTTTTTATTTCCCAAAGAGTCCGGCATAATGTCTGCAGACATCTTGGTATACATGGAGAAGCTTGAGCTGTTTTAAAAGCAGAGAATTTGCAATGTAAGATGTATATTGTAGAACATTCAGCTTTGTATAAGAGCATGCACTTTATTGGTTCATGAGTTTTTAATATCACTCATCCATTATCAGGTAAGTAGCAAATTTAGACATTTCTGAAATTAAATGGCAGTTTTTTTTCTGCATAATTTCCATATCCGAGAATTAACCTGGCTTTATTATGAAATTCACAGCCAAATATACTTTGTTTAAATCTGTGAACCACAATACAAATCATGAACTTGGGCAAACATGCGACTTTTGTACTTACGGTGCACGTTTTCTTCGCATTGAGAGCTCTCGTAGAGAGGTATTATTTTTCAGCTCATTCTGTCAAAATAACACTTATTTAAATTCAGCAGGAAAACAGTTATGTACATGCTATCATTGTTTCGCGGTCAAGTCCACATTATTTACAAATGTTGCTTTAACAATTGACAAAGCAAATTCAAGCTTTGACACCAAGTGCATGAAATTCCGTGACGAGTTTACAACTGAACGCAATGTTGGGGGGGAAAATCTCCACACTTATTTATCTAGGAAAGCCACGGAAAGTCGTAGGACTTATTTTCACGACGATGCTGCATTTGATGAGTGTTTATACAAGCGAGAGGAAACCGGAGCACCTGGAAAAAACCCACACGCGTAAGGGGGACAAAAACACTATCCCCAGCTGAACAAATGGCGATTCGTCCATTTGCTGTACTGCCCTCTCCTGGCGAGCTACGGTTATGATACCTCGACAACCACGGCAAAGGATTTTTCACATGTCCAGTTTATCAACCCTCACCTCCAATACTGGATTGCAGATGAGTGCCCACCACCGATAATTTGACCTTGCGAATGTAGTTTTGGAGGTGGGGCTACAATATTCACAACTGGATTACAAAACAAGGCAAGTGTATAATTTTATAGATTTACTTGGGCTGAACAATGGGTTATTTTTCACAGGTTACCTCATAAATCCGTTTCTTCGCCTTTGCTTTTGCTTTGTAAACACGTTTACTCTTGTCTGAAAGCGTCTGCCACTTGTCCTCCGCAATGCTCCAAGCTTTGGTCTGGTTTGCCTGTAAGCAATATAAATCCCACGAGATCACCAACTTACCCTACGTATAACTGCGATACAATTTGTATTTACATAGCATGAATGCAACTACATATCAAAAAGCGTAACACAAACAGTCGGACATGGGCAATCCTGGAGAAAGGACAGTATAATTTTAGAGAAAGAGGAAAATCTGAATCCCGACATAAATGGAGCCAGTTGGCAGCATGATAAAACTGAAGGGAGTTCTTGACGATGTGGGTAAGCAGAGGCTAAAGAGCAACCTCCCACTGAGTGAAGGTTGACTGGAGGCTTCAGGCCTTGGTTGCTAGAACAGAGTACATGGAGGGGGGTAGAGCAAGATAAGCGAACAGACGTAGGCATGAGCAAATCCTTGGAGGATCTTGATGGCAGTGATTTTTAAGTTGATCTGGAGCCAATGAGTATTGGGTCGATATGGAACATGTCATGCGCACCTTCGAGTACTTTGGCTTGGACCAAGTTAAACTGTCACTTTAACAATATCCCAGCTTCAACACTAGAAAGGTAGTTTTTTCAGCAGCTCACCCGATTCTTGCGCATTAGCAGAGGCAGCTTTTTCTGGATGTACAGCTCCTTTGCAGAAGGGGGTACCTCTGGCACTGCTTCCCAAAAATGCTTTTCATCAATCTTGTAATCAGGGCAGTATTTTCTCTAAAAAGCCAAAAGATGTGACAACTTAGAAAAAAACACATTCCATAACTTCAGAGGCAAGTAATGTTTTTACAAGCATATCTACTGATAGGGAATAAACAGCTAGTCAAATCCTTTCCACAAATAATATTCTCAAGCTGAACTCCTTTGTTTAAGTGTGTTCAGCTCCTCACAGCGTTGGTGTAAAAATGTAAGACCATCTCTACATTGATAAGTCATGGTGGTACCTGTATGCAACCAAGTAACCATGGTGCAGCATGGACTCACCTTAACTTCCAATGGCATCTCTTTCCAGGTTTTTAAAATCATGCGTACTATATCCCGTTTCGGGAGATCTGAATTGAGACCGTTATCCTGAATGGCTTGGAACATTTCGTTTATAAACGTGAAATGGACATCACTTTTTTTGCCTGAAGCCTGCAAAGAGGAAAACAAAGTATTATTGGGTTATATTATTGCTGGAGTAATCCCAATTATATCAGAGGTGGTACAGGCAAAACTGCAGGAAATATGTTGCAAAGTCTAAATACAGACCTTGACTTTGTTCTCCACACACGTGCTTTGCTGAATCTTCAAAGCTTTATTTACCCAGCGCAATTTTTGATCATCTGGCAATTTTGTCCACTTCTCTGAAAGGGTCTTTTTTAACACACGTTCAGACATCTGTAAATGCAAAGTGGTAAACGTCACCTTAAACATTTATTATAAGAAAAAGGCATATAAAGAATCCATAAAATGTTCGTGATAGACTGCATAGTTAAATTGATTAATATAGATCAAATTATTGAAGTCTACATTACTTTAAAAACATGCTTAACTTAAAAACGCATTTAAATGCAATTTAAAAACAGACATTTAGCATAGCACACTTGCCCACCAACTAGTATCCAGCGTGATCAATCCACCATTGGATGAAGGCCTCCGATCCATCATCATCCCTCATGGTGTATCATTACCAAAATTCACAATATGCTACGAAGCAGATCGATAACATTGGGTAAAGGATTTCCCAAATAAAGGCAACAGTGCTGCTCAGAAACAAATCATAAATCGGAAAAGTGAAATAAATGAGAAAACAGTAATACAGTAGACCAGGAGAGGGTAGCGAGGGGGGCCAAGGGGTGGCAAGAGGGACACGTCACAAGGCCCAGAACCTTCTAGTAGGATCTACACGGCGGCGTGGCCTAGGGCGGAGCCAGGCCACGCTCGGGGGCATAAAAGGGAATTCCCGAGCGCCAATCCGGGCTGTCTTCTAGAATCAACCGGCCGTGCTAGTCTCCTCGATCTCCGGTCGTCACATTCGGCATCATGGGTCAGGCAGTACGATACTGACCTGGCCCGGTTATGTAGTTGCCCGTTGTGGTTAAGCCGTTAGTGGAAGTTGTTACCACCTATGTCGTTTTCCAGTATGTTTATATAGTTACCCTGTCGGGGTATTGTAATAAATGTGTTGCCTCCAAGTTCTAGTGTGCGTCTCCGTGGATGCCACTAAAAATGTAAACTTGTACAACAGCATCACCAGGCCAAAACTCACAGATGGTTTCTCCACCAGAAGAGTAATCTTGGATTTCTCACACCACAGATTAAATGCAGTCGTGGGTGGTGATTGAGCACCTCCAATGTCACCAATCAAATCCAAGATCCTGGTGTTCAAGTGATATTTAAAAAAAAAAGCATTTGTTACCCAGGTTAATGTTTGAAATACCACGTGAAATCAACATTGGATAGACATTGAAGCTACCAATTAATTTCAATGCTATGTTTACATGTAACTCATGAGATAAACAAGCGAGCAAATTGTCATTTATTTTAAAGCAAAATACTTACTCAGTATTTTCTTTTAGAGCCTTTGCACGCCTTTTACGAGTTTCACACTGCTGAGAAACCAACAGACACAATTAAGTGCATTTCAACATTGTACGTTTTGGAATTAGAAATGTTTATTACCTCCCAGGAAATTTCTATTAAAATAATTTAGCATTCAACTTTGTATGCTACTCGTGTACACACATTTTGATGGTTATTGTAGAGTATTACACCCATCTAGGATATCTGCAGTCAAAACACAATGTTGCATCAGCTCATGAAAAAAAAATCACCTGAAGCCAATCGAATAACAATGGAACCAGAAAAAAATGCCAAACATCCCCCCGCCAACTGAAAGCGCATGGCCGAAAGTATGTATGACCTTCTTTTGCACCGTGCATAGCCAACCGCGCTTATCGGAGGTGCGGGTGAAGGTTCCTGGAGCATCCCCAGCAGTGCAGTGAGAACTGCGCATAGAGGAGTGAGTGGATGGGTGAAGCTTGAAACAAAGTGTCACCGACCTTAATCTCTCCATCGCACTTCACCAGACGTTCAGTGTCCCTGACGATCTCACGGAAGGTACGATGCAAACAAATCTGTGAAAACAATTTTCCAAAAGTTGCAAGGATTTTTTCTTTAAAAGATACCATCAAAGATGAGCATATATAAAGGTGTAACTTACCTTTCCAGATATTTCTCCCCATTTTTCTTTACACTGTACAGCATTGTACGGGCCAAACTTGACAATTTCCCAGTCCAATCTGGACAGAGAGGTCTGATACCGGAGTTTTTCAACATCAGCGGGTAAGCAGGCTGCCATCCGATCTAGTAAGAGATCTGTATCCTGCTGCGACCATCCATCTGTAGAAGTGCAATGATAAATGTCAATCCAGCCAACTACATTCATAATAGCCATCACTGTTCAGAATCTCCAGTTTTTGACTAACTTAAACAGCCTTCTGGGCTGCTGTTCAATGTAGAAATGATCTCTCACCGTACATTGCCAACCGTGGTAATCGGAGGTGTGGGGGAAGGACAATAATCTAAACACAAAAAGCAGTTGTTTAGTTAATGCAGCAGTGTATTTCCTTTGGTTATGACGGTCAGTGTATCTAATAAGATGGTTAATATTTCCCCCATTTATAATTATGCTTTTGTTTCACCAATACCATTTTAGTAAAACTTTTTTTTGGAAAACAAAATGTAACTGTGGTTAAAGTATCTCTTTGTTTGGATCACTTTTATGTGTACTTTGGTATATTCATGACTTAATGTTATTGTAGCGGTTCCAAATTGGTGAATATCCTTTTTAAATTCGTAAATATATATTAATTCGGCCCATGACAATACCTCAAGCTGCAATATTGGGATTGAAAAGTGTTGAGCAGCATGGGCGTTGCATGTGCATTCTATACTGTCCATTTGAATTATGCCCAGGAATACCACAATACACGGGCGATGGGAGATTAATGATGGAGTGCCTGGCATCCCAAGGAGCACAGATTGGAGGGATGAAATTGCTCGTGCACGTGTGCTCAATGGATTGTTACAACCCTGCATCGATCGGCCGAAAGGTCTTTTTCATCCAGCAATAGATTGGATCTTTCCCGGGGTTGAGGGCAAAATGCTTACCATTTGGCGTCTCGTTTTTGGACATGACAATCACCGACTGGATTTCTTGATCCTTCTCTAGTAACACAACATATCAAAGATGAGTAAAAACACACAAGGGCCTTAGACGCGAGGCAAGAAAAGCAGTCTTTGAGTAATGCAGTCCCCAAACTGCAAACCCCTTCACCTTAAAATCCAAATCACTAAACCTTACCCAAGAACTGTAACATCTCGGCCGGGAACAAAAAAAAAAATGTCTCATAGAACCAGATCTCCTGTGGGGCTCCGTAGTCAGGATTAGGATGCAAAAGACTTTTCACCCGAAGTTATTACTAGGCTACAGAGTATAGAGTAATCGACTGCGTTGTGTTTAGTCGCAAGTGTTCATGCAACTGCACTACTTTTGCCTCCGCTGTATCACCAATAAAATCGCTAAAAAAATCCAATGAACTCACTGCCGTGTAAATGATCAAAACGCCGTGCGCATTTATCAATTACACGGCCCCTCCGGGGCATCGATAATAGAAGCATTTTGCGAGGGAAAGACAATGGCACTCCGGATTGCATCCTCTCCGCCCTAAGAATGTACATCCACCAATGGTTCCAGGTTTGTAAACAGAACACGGAAGGCAGCCTCGGTCTCCATATCAGCAAAGAAATAACGTTCTAATTATTTGTTTACAATTGTTAAGAACACTCGCTTAGATGCCACCCACTTTACTCGCCCCGGGGCCGTCCGTTCCCAGTGCGGCAGGGATCAGAGCACGTGGGCCCCGCAGGACATCTATCCGAGCAAGCCCACCTGGTCACCCGCTAGGCCGCAACAACAAATCGTCCCAGTTACTCTACACAGTTAACCCGGCTGCTGTAGAACAATGAGCGTTTATAAGGACACGGTACAGAGAGGCAATATCATAAATATTCACGTGAATCTCATACCGTCCGAATCAATATCCGCTTCACCGTGCTGCGAAGCTGATGCCATAAACGCTGCCGCTCGCCACACAAAAGTGAACTGGCCACTCGGCAGCGAGGCGGGGCTTTGAGCACGTGACGAGGTCCCCCATCCCCCAACTTACACCCCACCCAATCACCCCCCCCCCCCATCCATCCCCCACCCCTCCCATCCACCTCCAATCCCCCCCCATCCACCCCCAATCCCCCAACCACATATACCCCCAATCCCCCAACCCCCCCCATCCACCCACAATCCCCCCCCATCCACCCCCAATCTCCTCCCATCCACCCCAATCTCCCCCCATCCACCCCCAATCTCCTCCCATCCACCCCCAATCTCCCCCATCCACCCCCAATCTCCCCCCATCCACCCCCAATCTCCTCCCATCCACCCCCAATCTCCCCCCATCCACCCCCAATCCCCCCCCATCCACCCCCAATCTCCTCCCATCCACCCCAATCTCCCCCCATCCACCCCCAATCTCCCCCCATCCACCCCAATCCCCCCTACCCATCCACCCACAATCTCCTCCCATCCACCCCAATCTCCCCCTTCCACCCCCAATCTCTCCCACCACCCCAATCTCCCCCATCCACCCCAATCTACTCCATCCACCCCAATCTCCTCCCATCCACCCCATTCTCCACCCCCAAAGCCACCCCCAATCTCCTCCTCACCCCAAATCTCCCCCCATCCACACCCCAATCTACTCCCATCCACACCCAATTCTCCCCCCATCCACCCCCAATCTCCTCCCATTCCACCCCATCTCCCCATTCCACCCAATCTCCCCCATTCCACCCCCAATCTCCTCCCACCACCCCCAATCTCCCCCATCCACCCCAATCTCATCCATCCACCCCAATACCCCCCCATCCCCCACAATCTCCCCTCCACCCAAATCTCCCCCCATCCACCCCACTCTCATCCCATCCCACCCCCAATCTCCCCCCATCCCCCCCCAATCTCATCCCATCCCCCAATCTCCCCCCATCCACCCCCAATCTCCTCCATTCCACCCAATTATCTCCCATCACCCCCAATCTCCCCCCATCCCCCAATCTCCTCCCATCCACCCCAATCTCCCCCCATCCACCCCAATCTCCTCCCATCCACCCCCAATCTCCTCCCATCCACCCCCAATCTCCCCCATCCACCCCCAATCTCCCCCATCCACCCCAATCTCCTCCCATCCACCCCCAATCTCCCCCCATCCACCCCCAATCTCCCCCATCCACCCCAATCTCCTCCCATCCACCCCCAATCTCCCCCCATCCACCCCAATCTCCTCCCATCCACCCCAATCTCCCCCATCCACCCCCAATCTCCTCCCATCCACCCCAATCTCCCCCATCCACCCCCAATCTCCTCCCATCCACCCCCCAATCCCCCCCCCATCCACCCCCAATCCCCCCCCCCCATCCACCCCCAATCTCCCCCCATCCACCCCCCATCCACCCCCAATCTCCCCCCATCCCCCCATTCTCCCCCCATCCACCCCCAATCTCCCCCCATCCACCCCCAATCTCCCCCCATCCACCCCCAATCCTCCCCCATCCACCCCCAATCCACCCCACTCCCCCAACACCCCCATCCATCCACAATCCCCCCCCCCCATACACCCCCCCCATCCACCCCCAACCCCCCTCCACCCATCCCCAATCCCCCCCCATCACACCCACAATCCCCCAAACCCCCTCATCCCCCCCCATACCCCCTCTCTAAGTAAATGGCGGCTTGCCATCCTTTCCACCTCCATGTAGCGATGGCTCTTCCCGAGCTCTCTCCGAGCTTACATTTACAAGCACATTTCTTACATTGACATGCTAATCTCTCTTACATTGGCATGCTAATCTCTCTTACATTGGCATGCTAATCTCTCACAATACAATGGCCACCCCCACAGCTTCGTTCGTCAAGATTTACCCGATCTTACATTCACATGCAAATGTCATCTCTAGCCCCGCTCCCTGACCCTTGGGCTACACCCATCTCAAATCCTCCCTGCCTCAGCAGCTCTCCCGCTATATTTTTCACTTGATGATAATTGCTTGTGTTGCAATCGAAACGTCGTGATATTGTTATTATTTTTATTAATTTTATTTTTGTTCTATCTACGTGGCTTTACCGAAAGACCCAAATAATACAACTATCATTGTTTATTACGGTGCGTGTCTTATTTGGTTAACCCCTTTGGTAACACAAGGTGAATCGGATAAGACCACTTCACAGGTGAAGTTACGCTTTATTTATGAAATTACCTCTCAGCACCGCATTCGTATGCACGTGGTTGTGATCAATTCCGCACCTGCGTTTCACTTTTGGTGCCGATTGTTCTATAGTCGACATTACACATGTACAGCAAAAATGTATACAGTTCTTCAACAAAATCCACACTATCGCACTTGATTGCAATGGCTGCTCGCACAAAATACCCGACGATTGCACTTAACGTTATTTTAATAAGCATCTGCCATGTTCAATCCACTGCAGGATGACGGCCTCCCCCCATCGGGAATCCCTGATGGTCTTATAAACGTCACTATGCATCTCACTCCTGCACATGAGCTGATCGCATCGCTCCATCCCAATGGTGCTCGTCTTCTCAGGCACGTTCCAGTCCCTTTGGCTGCCATTCCCAAACCGGTCTTTTCCATCGGCCTTCACACCCCCCCCCCCCCTCCGAGAGATGCGTCCTTCCTCAAGGCCACTTTACCTTCCCTTAACATTCAATGTTTGACATCCAACTTGTGTTTATTCTCTGATCCATTGTCCCTCTAGTTCTCAGTTTATCTTCCCACTATGCACCTCTCCGGGCCCGTAGCGTCGAGTGGAATGGAGGAAGCCGAGCCCCCTGCAGAAAGTTCAAAGTCTTAGTCAAAAACAAAAAACTGTTGGCATATTTAAGACTGATGGTGTTTTTCCCACCCTCATTCTTTTCTCGTATACATAGCTAGAAAATGATGCATGGTAGACAGAGGTCATATTGTTATACCGGGTAGTCGTCAAAATGTTTAAAGATTCACAGTGACGATGTTGTACCTCCGAGTTATGTTTTTGGGACGTACACGTCGCTGGTGGACCAGCATTTATTGCCCATCCCCAGTCGCCTGCGGTAGTGGTGCTGCTGGGTCGTCTCCGGGAACCGCTTGCGGCCTCTGTGGTGCAGATACATGTCCCCAACATTGTTGTTCGCCAACGAGTTCCAGGATTTTTTTCCCCAGTTATGTTGAAAGAGTGGCGACATATGTCCAAGTCAGGACGGTGTTCCACCCGAAGGTGGTGTGTGTCATTCCTACGCAGCTGATCTTCTTGTCCTTCTCCGTGGCAAGTCCTATGTTTCGGAGGTACTGGTAAAGAACCTATTTAAACAGTCCGGCTACGCTTGTGTAATGACTTGACACTTGTATTCTTTGGGTCTTTCGGTAAAGTCACGTAGATAGGTTAAAAGAAAATAACAAAAAAAATCTACTTGGCTTTACCGAAAGACCCAAAGAATATGAATTCCTGCAGTCACGAAAGCTTTAAGTCAAGATTTGACACACTTCTCTTGAGATGGCATTTTATTGAGGACACGTTCACCTGACATCAGGCGGAGACCCCAACTGCAACAGCCCCGAGTCTCCTGCGCATCTCCCTTACATAGACCGAGGCCACACCCCCCCTTCTCGATAATTCTAGTCGACTCTGGACGCTCGCTCCCACCGGCAGACTCCACCGTCCTCTTCCGTCACCTGACCACGATCATTCCCGTAGCCACCAGTCCCTTCGCACTCACAACTGACTCCCCTGTCATTACCTCCCGTGGCCACTAGTGCATTAAAAATTCTGGATATCGAACGCTGTTTCCCCATCGACTGCCATTATATATTTGGAAGATGCGTTTTGACGGAAAGAAATTAGGCTTCAAGATATAGTCACACTTCAGAATGTAGCAAACATTTTTCAGCACGTTGAATGTAAAATCAAGTATTATATAATACGAGTAACAACTGAACGTAAATAGCGGAAAAACAATACTATACAGGACTTACATCCAAGGTCTCTTTTTTTGCAATTCTGCTATCACTTTCACTTCATGACCTCCATAAACGACATCTTAGCTTACTTGAACTGAAGAACATTGAAATAATTGTGAAATGGTGCACAGTACGCCGTGCTGTCCAAACCGAGCTTGGGCAGCACGGCGAGCTCAGGTAATTAGCACAGGATGAAAAGCGTGCCACGCAAACCACGTGGAGCAGCATATGTATGTGTGTCTGCTGAAAAGCAGTTTTAAAGAAATTAGTTTTCAATCTCGATTTAAAATTGCATAACTTCAGTGGCTTCCTCAATATTGGAACAGCTTTCCAGACGACCGCTGAAGCATTAAATGCACGCTCAAACGACACTATCCATTGTTCACCCCACCCCCCAAAGAAAAACACAATTTAGAGATAACAAAAATTCCGTGAATCCAAATTTAACGCAACGTATATGAAATTCGTCCCATAAATTATAAATTACATTATAGTAAAATTCCGTATATTTAGATGCTGTATGAGAGACGACTGTATTTCCAGGTTCTACTTTAATTCTATTATAAAACATGATTTATTGCCATGCTGTTGCAGATATCTGTGTAAGCAGTATTTTTTTTCCTTAAGATATCTTCTGTAATCCTGCACAGCTCTCTCTGGAAACTCACCACCCATCTACGGAGTTAAGTTAGATACTCATGACTGTCTTTGCTCATACATCTTGCATCATGCAGCATTTCTGCCATTTTCAAGAAGTCTCTTCGGTCAAGGCAGATGTCTATTAACAAAGGACAAAAAATCGTGATTGTTCCCACATTCTTATTTTCAAATAAAGCAGCAGATACTATGGACTCACAGGGAGTGTGTTTTGAACTGCACTTTACATTCATAGATTATAATAATCAACAACTTCCTCCACACTTTCATCACCATCCTAAATTTTATTATCCACAGCCTACTTTAAAATGTATTTCTTCTTTGTTTAATAATGTATTTCTGCCACAACCACATTTTACCGTGTCATGCTCTTGGTGGGGATTCTCCGAGTATGTCATTTGCATCTTCATTAGTGCTGCAAATAATGCCACTTTGTTGTTTAAGGCAAACACATTCACAGACTTTACCATCACGACTTTCAAGTTCACTTTTCTGGTCGTGCATCTCCATATTGTTCACTGATTTTCCCACAATGCCCGTATGGGGCTCTTTAAGCACTGTACTCAGTTCCGGGTTAAGTACTACGTTGGGATCTCTGATACCCAGTGCGGCACAGAACACAGTTGTCTGAGGATTCACAGCGTGCTTGGGATCCTGTGCTCTGGGTTTGTGAGGGCCATAGTCAGGAACTGTCTTCGCAAAATTCTGTGGCACACGAAGATCTCGACCAAGGGAACTGAGGGCCGTGGCAATGGCTTCCTTTGTCAAAGTATAATTATGTCTGTTGGAGAAAAACAATTAAATTCATAGGATTAACAAACAGTGAAAATCACATGGTAATAAAAAAAAAACTACTTAAGATAAGAACACTGAAGTGTTTGGCAGTGTACTAAAGTGGCAATAAGTTACGGTGACATTAATGAAGAGACACCTCAGATGATTCTCTGTCTTGAGTGAAGGAGCATGTATCTCAGGAGACACGTTGATTAAGTGGTCCATGGTCTTCAGTATTGCGAGCCACTCGGAATCATACTCCAGCTGCAGAGGAACCTCTGGGTCGTGTAACATCTCGACAACCTGATTGCAGACAACAATCCGAGAGAACTTTGTCATGAAAACCGATTGGCTTGTGACTTTATATTTTTTTGTTTGCAAAGTTGTGAATGTCTCATGCTTGGCGTGTATTTTGGTTACAGCATGCTCTGCCAACCTGCAGGAAATCTCTCTGAGGTAGGCACTTGTCCAAGGCCAGGAATTTTGTAACCTTGGGTTCGGCATCACCAAACCTCTGCTACACAAGCACAGGTATAAGAGGGGGCATTGGAGCAGTAGAATAATTCAACAAGTGGAAATAACATTTTTAAATTGGGAAGCTTGCACAATGAGCCCCAGTAGTCGGCTAGGTTCATTGGGTCTCTACTGCATAGCTTATTTCATGTCAGGCATTGACCACTTCCTCACGTTGTGCTGCACAAGTGCAGCGAACTTGACATGCAGGTGTGCTGAGAACCAGAAGGTGGGGCGCAGGTGGTGGAGCAGCTGGGCACCGGCTGGGCTGCCGAGGGAGTTTGCTTCCACCTCATTTCGTAGGAAGCGCTTGCGCCGCAGGAGCTCCTCGCGCTGCCCATAGTTGTAGATCCCACGGGGCCAGTCGTGAGAGAGAAACACGTCCAATGGCTGCTGAATCTAGAAGGCCAAGATTAACCGGCCATGGGTTTATTTTTTTGAAATGTATGTAATTTAAGAAATTCATTTATATTCTTTGAAACAGGGGTCCCCCAACCCCCGGGCCGCACAGCAGGAGGTGAGCGGCGAGTCCACGCGTGGCCCGCCCATTATTTTATTATTGACCACTTCCGTCCACGTCTCTTTCCCGCACTGTGCAATTGTCTCAGTCAGTTTTGGTAAGACCACAAGCTAACGCCGAGCCAAAATGAGTAAAAAACAAACGTCGCTGGAGAGCTTCTTTGAAAAGGGTGAAAGACCCAATGATGAACCCCCCCCCCCCCCCCCACACAAGTCAGTGAAAAAAGTGTCTTCCACGAAACCGATCCATGGTGCCAAAAAAGTTGGGGACCGCTGCTTTAAAACGTGCCTCTTTACGAATCACACATATTTATTAAAAACATTTTTTAACTGAAACAAAAGGTTCAATCGAGTAAATATTACAGCTGACCATATACCTGGTGCGTAAACTCACATTGGCTCAGTTCAGATACTTATAGCTTTCTTAGTTTTCTTGTTTGAGATAAGTTGCTAAACTACTGCAAGGAATTTGAAACAAACTTCAAGCTTGCCCCTCTGCTGAAAAATGTAGATGAGAATGTGTTTTCCTCACCTGCTTCAGTTTGATAACATCACAACTTCTCACATGGTAGACACTTCTGACTGTATCATTGTTGTATGGCGGGAACTCATAATGACCTGGGTTAGGGTTAGAATTATTCAACAATCAGCGTATGGGACTATCTATAACAGCTCATTATTAGTATTATTTTAAAACCAATTATTGAATGTGATAACAGATTACAGCAATAATTACCTTTGCAATAGTTGTGGACATTGTAAATTCCTGAGAGGCCCCCTATCCTCAGGCTGCCATACTTAACAATTCCAGCATATCCTGGAGAAAAAACACACCACAGTAGCTTGAACTCATACCACTGGACACACTATAAACTTATCCAATAACAGAGTTAAAATGCCTTCCATATAACACCGATACGCTTCCCAATATGCACACAAATGTTAATAAAACATTTCAAGACAAAACAGAAGTGGTTTCTTACCCAGGTAGTAAATGTTTGGTGCCACCCAACCACCATATGGAATTTCTTGTAAATGGTTCGAGGCCTCATGGTTACCACCAATGAAGATGGTCAACACCGGGGCCTTTTGTGCACCAGAATAGTACCTAGGATAGAAGAGGGCACATATCAGTACGTGTTGAAGTAATCTAGGAGCCCCAGAAAAGCACATGCTTTTTAGGGGCAGAAAATACAAAACAAATGCTGCAGATGGGTCTGCAACCTCCTGGCCCCCGTGCCATCTTCTGACAGTTACTTGTGAAAGCTGTGCATGTGCCGGTACTTGGCTGGCACGGCCATGCACTGCAGGTCGGTCTCGTCGCGTGCCGCTTGGAAGTCTCCACAGCAGAGCAGCAGGTCAACGTGCACGCCCTCCACGCGCTCCATGTGCTCCAGCGTGGCGAACACCTTGTCGAGCTGCCCGTGGCAGCAGCCTGCCACCGCCACCTTCATGGCTCTCTGGTGCACACAAGTACACCACAAAAGCGAGAATAATTATACCACAAAATTAATCCATAATCGACATATCTGAACACCAGAGGTCGCAAACGGGTTTTGATTCCTTACCCGTACCCGGCGCACCAGGGTCGCAAACGGGTACCCGTACCCGGCCGTACCAGTACCCTACCCGTACCCGGCTGGGTACCCGGCTGGGTACGGGTAGGGTACGGGTATCGGGTACCTGATTGCGACCTCTGGGATGAAGCCATGTTGCAGGCGCGGGTGGGTTGATTCTAGGAACTTGAATTGTGAGAAGAGACAAGACGTTGGGAAATGAGTGACAAACAGTTACTCACCAGTGACTCACGGTCTACCCGTACCCGTATCGGGTAGGGTAAGGGTATCGGGTACCCGGTTGCGACCTCTGCTGAACACCCCTGCTCCTTTGCCTAATGCAGGGGTCGGGAACCTTTTTGACTGGGAGAGCCATAAAAGCCAAATATTTCTAAATATATTTCATTGAGAGCCATATAGTGTTTTTAACGTATAATAAATTAAATATGTCCTACTTTTAATGCGACGTCTGGTGCTGCATAGTTTTGCTGATGGCCTTGTAGTCTGGTTCATACGTGGTGAGGTTGAGCTACGTGCAGGCGTGACCCGTGAAATTTATCTTCAAAACTAATTTCTATTCACTTTAAAATGACACAGTATTATTAAGTAATATCACAAGTATTTTAAAATCAGTTCCAAACAGATTTTTATTTATTATTTTTTCAACTCAAAATTTTCTGGGAGCCATATGCCGTCACTGGAAGAGCCATATATGGCTCGCGAGCCATAGGTTCCCAACCGCTGGCCTAATGCTTGCACGGACAGTCATCGACTTACGGACACAATTCGTTCCTGAGACCCGTTCGTAAGTCGGAACACAAAATGTACTGTACTTGCCCATGCGGTGTGTTGTGAGATGTGTTACGGTTCAAGAAAAAAGGGAAGCATTGTTATTGTAGATTTGCATGCAACGCTTATAAAATATATTATACAGTAAATGAAACATAACATAGAGTAACAAATATAGAAACAAGGATCAGTTTTACTTTACACAGGAAAGTTAACCATTGAATCCATAAGAGGTTTTTGGGTTAGATCGTGTAAATATATAAATGTGTCGTTAAACCCCGCCACCACCCGACACAGCCAACTAGTAAGGGTTGTCACGTAAATAGAACATGCCAATTCGTCACTAGTACAGCACACTGGTGTGTTGGAGAGCCAAGCCACAACATTTACAAACTGAGTACGACATTTCGCCAGTAATTACAACTAGCTTCATCAGGCGACAGCCAGATTTGTGAAGTGTTTCGTTCCTTATATAGAGGTGTAGATGTGTTGTTTCGTTCCTTATATAGAGGCGTAGATGTGTTGACCACCCTACGCCTCTATACAAGGAATGAAACACTTCACAAATCTGGCTGTCGCCTGATGAAGCTAGTTGTAATTACAGGCGAAACGTCGTACTCGTTTGTAAATGTTGTGGCTTCGCTCTCCAACACACCGGTTAGTGCTGTACTGGTGACGAATTGGCATCTTCTGTTTACGTGACAACCCTTACGAGTTGGCTGTGTCGGGTGGTGGCGGGTTTTAACGACACATTTATATATTTACGCGATCTAACCCAAAAACCTCTATTATGGATATTGGTCGCGAAAGCCTCCGTGTTAAATTCACCATTCAAATATTCCAAAGAACACAGGATGAGATGTTACTATCCTTTGTGCAAGCACTTCCAAGAGTTCATGAACAGTGAGCCTGGTGAAATTTTGGGAGCGCATCGTCAGTAGTGAACCTTTGGTTCCTAGGGTGTTTCGGCCTTTCATACTATACACCCTCCCCAAATGCGGCCAGCGACAGGGTGATCAATCCTACGCTTGCGTCCCATTCCCAATTAGTCATAGGAGTTGCCTTGTTGTTGATAGCCAACATCCCATGGGACTATGCATGGCAGGGGCGTCCTCCTCCCTGAGTCAAGCATTGTTGACTGCATTCAGACTCGTTTTCAAGAGGGCCCCGTCTGACAAATTTGTCGAATTGAGTACTGTACTGTACTCTACTCTATTTCATCCGATATATTTAGCACCGCCGTCTCTTCAGTCGTGGCACATATTTCAGTCGTTTACAGATGTCAATGCGTGCAAAGTATTCGCTTCAGATGTTTCCTTCGGATGTGCCGTGTACATCGTGGGCGTGTTTAATCATCATTGTCCCCGTGTGCATAACACGTGAACCCATTCGTCGGTCTGCCGCACGGGGCTCTTTGCACGAAGCACCCTGCCGCTTGCTGCCGCTTGCTGCAAGACGCATTCCGCACTTGGCTGGGATGCCACACGGCGACTCACTGCAGCAGCGGCAGCAGCAGCGTTTGACATCACTGCGGAAGGATTCCCTCCCCTTTGAACAAACCCCTAAACTCCCATCCATTGTAAATCTCGAACGGTAATCCCCCCTCCCCCCACCTTCTATAACTCGACACAAATCCCGGTTAATTTCGCAACGCACAGCATTTCTGGAACAGCAATTTATGAGACAGCTTGTTATCGTGAAAACACCACGAATGGCAGAAACGCGCTTACAGCATTAAAGCCGCAACACACACACGCGCGGGGTGTGGAGTTGCAAGTGCAACGATGAAGCATGCTGCGGCACGATCAAACCCTGCCAGCCGAAGTCGATTGCCCTGGCCGACAACAGTGTTCTTACACGATTTCAATCGGTGTTCCATTCTATCATTGCTCCGAGGCTTCTCTTGGCCAGTCCTCGCTGACCGAGTGGATCAAGCGCCGGCCTGTACGCCCGACGACGCGCGTTGTAATTACCGGCGAAACGTCGAACTCCAATTGTTATTTTGTTATTTTCTTTGAACCTATCGACGCGACTTTACCGAAAGACCCAAGAATACGCATTGCACATGTTGTGGGTTTTGCTCTCCAACACACCGGTGCGCTGAACTAGTGACGAATTGGCACGTTCTGTTTACGTGACACACCTTACGAATTGGCTGCGTCGGGCGGTGGCGCGTTTAACGACACATTAATATTTACGCGATCTAACAACAAAACCTCTTATGGATTACGAAGTATGGTTAAGCCACCCCCCTCCTACGCCCGGACATGGCATGGAGAGGCCTTCATCCAGCAGTCGATTAACCCGAGCCATAATAACCCCTCGGCCAGAGCAGCGCATTTCAGCGGCATCGTTCAGAGCCAAAGAGCCCCATCGCATAAAAGCGCACTGCCTGCCCCCCCATACGTGCCAGCATTAGAACGGTGCGAGCGGTTAGACGACAACATCACCGCCGCCACCACCACCACCACGCGAGCTTATAGGGCACGAATGCAGATGGGGAACAGAGGATGTTGCGATTACCTCCGTGTCCGAGTCGGCGAGCTGCAATGCGAGAGACTCGGGGCGAGGGCCACCCCAACCCAGCACACAGGGAAGCCGTGGGGAGGCTAATCACTCAGCCACTCAGCAACTCGCACAAACCCTTCCAGTTCTCCCACTCTCCACCGCTGCACGTGTGGCCACGACTGCGAGCGTGACGCGGGCAATTGTTAATATTGTTAGATCGGTAGTTTAACATTAATTGTGCAGTGTCACGTCGCGAAAATGTAGACCGCTTTTCTCTGCAACTGGTTTGGCCCAATGCACTGCAGGGTGGGCTCTCTGCAGTAAAAAATGCAATTGTAAAACAATGGCATTGAATTCGGGTGTGCCGTGTTATGGACTGATAGCAAAGGTGCCGAATGTGCGGTTTCACACAAGAGGGCAGCACTAACCCAAGCGGTCATTGTCAGTGCCTCAGGAGAGAGTTGATATAGTTTGGCTATTTCTCCTTTCAATGAGCGTAGACAACAGTAGTTGGTCTATATGGTCCATAGTGTGGGTTGCATGCCCATAGTCGCACTGTAGCTTGCATTTAATTTTCCAGTCACGAAGAAGATGTGCACATCGGCTTGTTGATGTTCTCATGCGATTCATGGTGACATATACGTGTCTTCGAGGGATGTGGAAGCCACGCGTTGCGATGTGTGGATCTCGAATGAGAAGTCTGCGTTATTCAACTCTGTTCGCCAGCGTGGAACAATGCGGATGTCCAGAAAAAAAGAGGGCTCTGTTCTAACTTGATGTGCAGCCTGGAATTTCGATGTTTTCCCTGACGTGGCAGGTCATGAGCCCGCGGTGGCTTTTCACCATTGCTTCTGATGAATGGTGTAATAAACACGAGGTGTGAGCTGCTTGCTGGGCTTGTCATTCGCTCAACCAGCAGGTGGCTGCACTTGCGTGCAGCGTGAAATGTGCTGCTCGGCTCTGGCATGGCAGGCATTCGTAATTGCTATTCGCCTTGGGACGCATGGGCGGTAATTATTACCACGAGGGGCATTACTCGTCAAGAAGTGTCGTAGCGGTGATTGTGAGGGCCACTTACCTCGCATTCAATCGCCCCGTTACTGTTGGGTATGCCGCTTTGAGTTTCATGCGTGTGATTTCAAAAGCGTGCTTTGCTTTATGGGAACGCTGTTTGACATGAATGGGGACCTCTGTTGAGAGCAGATTTACTTATAATGTCGATGAGACCATATTGATTAATGTGTGTTTTCTGTCCTTTAACTCTTACCACGTTACGAGGCATGGTTGATCCACTGCTTGATAAAGGTCTCTTCAAGTCACCACGACATCCACAACCAAAATGCGCAACTTTAAATAAATATAGACAACACGTTCTACTCAATTAAATCGACTTTTTAATAAATGTTTTCTCCTACAACATCAAAGTGCAGCGGCACATTAAATACGCACTAAAATGGCAATAGTTTAAAGCGATTTAATGCATGTTTTTATCTTTTTTGAAGGGGGTCTGACTTTTTGTGACGCCGTGTGACGAAGGGGGGGGGGGAGTCAAAAATCGTCCAAAATCTCGTGACGTCATTTATGGACGGCCCCTAAGGCATTGAATTGCCCGGGCGTCCATGAGGAGGCAGCAATAATTGACATGACGCAGCATTGAAGTCCATGCGCCCTGCCACCATGCATCTAACACAGCAGATCAGAAAGCAATAGCATAATCCCATCCTTGTAATGTATCATTATGCTGTTTCCCATCTCTGTTTCTCTATTTCCCGGGCATCGATGTGGAAGGGCTGCTGTGCTTGAGAGGAAAGCGCTAATGGCGAGGGAGGCCCAGGACAGGATGTTGCCGTAACAGATCACGGTGTTGGTGACGCAGCTCGACAGCCCACAGTGGCACCCACGGAGACCATACTCGGCTTTGAAGTTCACCCATCATGATTCTTGATCCCCCACCGCCAGCGAGTGACAAAATTGTTTTCGACAGATCCTAGACCTTTAAAAAAAAAAAACCTCCACCTTTGAAAAATAAAATAAATAGATTTTTGGCTGTTAAAGGACAGGTTCTTTTATTTTAAGGTCAGCCGGTTTTGGGCCGGTTAAGTGAAGTTTTAAATACAGTGCAGCAATTATTTAGAACATTATTCAGCGAGGTGAAAGTGCATTGAGATGCACATCGCTTGTGTAACAGAGACCGTGGAAGGTGGCGTTTTCAAATAATTTCGGGGACACAAAAAGCCAATAATAGTAAAATAGAAATAGTCTGAAAAGGCAAAGAAAATGCGTATATAAATACTCAACAATGCAATAAAGGGTAAAGTTTCGTGCCAATAGATGAGTAAAAATATTGTTATATTTTAATCTCTGTATTATTGGAGTTTCATGCAAATATTCTAAGATGGAATGTGCATTCGTGCATAGCAGCGTCGTCTCTCTCGTCTGAACGAGGAGAGCCTGAGCAGTCCACCTTGGCCGCCCCCAGCACAATGGCCATTATTCACTCTGCAGCGCATGCCACCAGATATTGTACATCCAGCAGATGGGGACATCATCTGAAATTAATTGCTAATCAAGTTACAACATTCAAGCGCCCTTTGTTTTTTTCCATTGCCACCTGCAAAACATCATGAAATCATTTATCTTTACACATGCCTTTTTGGACTTTGTTGAATATTCCATCACATTTAGAAGGCACACCATATAATATACTGAATTTTTTCTGCAGGCATGGATCTGTCTTTGTATTATAGTAATTATAAATATATGGGTGAAGTTGGCGAGCAATGGTTAGCACACTGTGCTATGAAGCTGCACAGCCAAGTTTGGTTACAAAACAGTGAATGAACACACTGTCCATTTAATATTGATTAATTATTGCACAAAAATACCTGTAGTTTGTTGAGCTAATGCTCTACACGTGGCATACAGAAAGTGAAATGGCAAAATTAATTAATGTCCGTTCTTTCAGAGTGTGTAATAACTACGCAATGAGGCACTTCCAAGGAGTGTTCGTTGTAAACGGAGCGATCACTCGTAAAATGTAAGAGATGCAGCCCTGCAATTGCTTGCTCACCCCACTGCAGGTGGAAGGGCCTATACTCGAGGGCACACTAGGAAGCCCCACTCCACCATATCTAGCTTCCCCTTCCATACTGGCCAGACATCTTGGATGAGGTCAAAATACCCACACACGCAACCTGCCAATCGACTGTGATGTACACATTTATACTGTTGTCTTGATATAGGCAGGGGAGATTTAAGAAACATGACCATTTTATTCAACTTCCCGTGTCGGTGACCAGTGCTGGAATGAAAATCCCACATGTATTATTAGCATGCCTCACTCAGCACAACTGCACAACATGCTGTGGTGCTAGTTATGGAGGTGTCGATGAGTGGGGACACCTGGTGATTTGCATGTGTTTTTTCTCCGTGAAATCAGATTTGTCGTAAACGAGCAGCAAATGACGCGCCAGGCACGATGGGCGAAGAAACGAGTCGTCGCGAGTGGAACAAACCAGTCGATTCTACTCGCAATGATGAAAGTAATTCCAAAATCGTTTCTTTTAAATTATTATTATGCAGCAGCGTCTTTTACCAATTCTAATTTCAGTTATGTCCTACCCAAAGATATATTCATTTGTTTAGCGAACTTGTTGTACACTATGCATGCGTTGTTGTACGTTGTGTAGAGGAGTGTTGTGAGTAACCAATGAGGGGGCAAGCGGATTGAGGTGCGAGCTGGTTGAGAGTTATGCAGGGGCCAGTGGGCGGGGCCGAGCTGGGGGGAGGAGCCGCCCAAAGGGTTCTTAAGGGGGACCCCGTGATTAATCAGAAACGGTTTTAATCGCCATGTAAGTTTGCACAAACAAGGAATTCACTATGGCGGGACGGTGCATACATTTAACAAGTAGGAATCTTAACTTATATAAAAGGTATACACTCTAACTATACTAACGTTACAAAGTATAAGTAATACCAAAGGACTAAAATCTTTAAAATTATGAATAAGTAGTCCTTATAAAATGCGAATGTAAAATGTTAATTAGCCGTATTAAACAATCTTAAAATACAAAAATACAAATAAGATTACACGTTGTAAGTATGGAAAGGTGTAATTATGTAGATAACATTTTATAGTAAGTGTAACAGTCATTTTAAGTGTAAAAGTCATTTTAAGCCCTTGGCCTTGTTGAGGAGGCAGATGGGAAAAACCTGTTTTTATGACGTGAGGATGGAGGCGTGGGCGTCGTTGGGGGCCAGGGTAAGGAGCGGCTGGAGTAAGGGTCTCTCTCCTCGTCGCGGGGCGGTGTTGGCTGATTCCCCGCCTGGACAGACGAGTGAGAGAGCCAAGGGGATAGCCGGGGAAGGACTCAAATAGTTATTCAGCGTCTGTGTGAAGGACCGAGATAGAGTGCACCTACACTGGAGTGAGTGTAGGATGCCGAGTGAGAGTGTGTGTTACTGGTAGGAACGAAGTGGACCAGACCACCAATAGATTAATGTGTCCGTCCGTCCGTCCGTCCGTCTGTCCGACAAGATGGCCGCCCGCTCCCCCTGCGATCTGTGAACTAAACAAGATGGCCGTCGCTTCCACCGCCTCACGGCGAAACTTTAAACTTCGCTTCAAAATTACTTTACTGAAACGCAGCACGTTTTTTAACACAGAGACAAGATACATTTATTAACACAGAGACAAGATACATTTAATCGCCTTATTTGTGCACGAAAAGCATGGCTTCGCGAGGCCCACTGCAGAGGCTTCGCGAGGCCTAGTGCAGAAGGCTTCGCGAGGCCTAGTGCAGTAGGCTTCGCGATGCCTAGTGCGGCAGGCTTCGCGAGGCCTAGTGCGGGAGGCTTATTAACACAGAGACTAGATACATTTAATCGCCTTATTTGTGCACGAAAAGTGCGGCTTCGCGAGGCCTACTGCAGAGGCTTCGCGAGGCCTAGTGCAGAAGGCTTCGCTAAGTCTACTGCAGAGAAGGCTTCGCGAGGCCTAGTGCGGCAGGCTTCGCGAGGCCTAGTGCGGCAGGCTTCGCGAGGCCTAGTGCGGCAGGCTTATTAACACAGAGACGAGATACATTTAATTGCCTTATTTGTGCACGAAAAGCGCGGCTTCGCGAGGCCTACTGCAGAGGCTTCGCGAGGCCTAGTGCAGAAGGCTTCGCTAAGTCTACTGCAGAGAAGGCTTCGCGAGGCCTAGTGCGGCAGGCTTCGCGAGGCCTAGTGCGGCAGGCTTCGCGAGGCCTAGTGCGGCAGGCTTATTAACACAGAGAC